TGTGTGGTGTGTCTGTATGTGGTATGTGTGGTGTGTGTGTGTGGTGTGTGTGTATGTCTGTGTCTGTGTGTGTCTGTGTGTGTGTGTGTTTTCTAGACTACGGTGGGCAAACACACCGCTCACTTGGCAACCCTCAGCTTGTTCTCCTGTCTATGACTTTGCTCTGTGTCGGTTCATTTACTGTGCTTAGAGCTTAGACGCTACGCAGGAGGGAAAGTGTAACGGGTTTGTCTTCCTCTGTCTGACCGACTTCACTCAGCACAGCACCGCGGGCCCATCCGCGCTGCTGCACACGGTAGAGTCCCGCCTGTCACTGCTGCGTCACACCCATCGTACGCCTGTCCCCCGTCCTCATCCGCTCGGCTCTGGGGACACCCAGCTGCTTCCCAGCCTCGGCCGCTGTCACTGACGCTGCAGTGAGCCGGGGCGCGTGTGTCTTGTCAATCGGTGTTTTCATTTTCTTGCGTAAACACCCAGACCTGGAATGGCTGGGGCTGGTCCTGGTTTTAATTTTTTGAGGCGTCTCCATGGCGGCAGCACCAATTTACACCCCCCCCCAGCGCACGAGGCCCCCTTCCCCGCATCCTCGCCACCTCTGGGCGCTTCTTGTCCTGCTGACCGCCGCCTGGCAGGCGTGAGGTGGGCCTCGGTCCCTGGTGAGCAGCGACGTTGAGCATCTTCTCGTGTCTGTTGGCCATCGGAATGTCCTCTCGGGACAGATGTCTCCTCGGATTTTTTTCAGGAAGCTTCTGTCTGCCTTGCTAATGACCAGTAATGAAGGGCTCGCGTTTGGTGAAGTTACAGATTAACTTGTGGATTTGTATCTGATACAAAACCAAAGATTGCTCTTGACCGTCTCATGGAGCGATCAGGGTTTTAAATGGAGTTTCGGAATCTCGCCCTGGCATTTTATTTTTTTATTTTTTTTTAATATATTTTATTGATTTTTTACAGAGAGAAGGGAGAGAGATAGAGAGTTAGAAACATCGATGAGAGAGACATCGATCAGCTGCCTCCTGCACATCCCCCACTGGGGAAGTGCCCGCAACCCAGGTACATGCCCCCGACCGGAATCGAACCCGGGACCCTTCAGTCCACAGGCCGACGCTCTATCCACTGAGCCAAACCGGTTTCGGCTCGCCCTGGCATTTTAAACTGATAAGAACAGATACTACACTTGATCTTAGCCAAAAGGCCGAGAAGCGATCGCCCTGGCATTTTAAAATGGACCATACAGACAGGTTATTTTGATTTTCTGAATTATATAAATCATCCCATTCGATTAAATGCCTTATTGATTGTACTGTGAATATCCCATGGGTTGTGGTCATACTGGTCTTAGAAAGCACATTTTCCTTCACCTGGGAAGGACAGCACAGTTATCCCAAGGTCAGAGGGCTCTAGACCCAAAACTGTAATCTGGATAACATGCCCAAGTGTAACCCAGGCTACCCAAGGGCTCTCGGTAACGTGTTTATAACATGCTGCTTAAACTGCTTTTTGCAAACTAGGTTCCTCATTCCAGACCCGAGGGCTCCAGATCATGTATTTCTGTCAATTCAGTGACCCCGAGACCCAAAACTATGATTAACACGCTTAATTCTGCTTCTGTAAACTGCCTTTTGTGAGCCAGGTGCCTCATTCCAAACCTTGGGATGTAATCAATACCTTTGTGATCTTTGCCTATTTAAGTCTGGTTCTGCCACCATCTTATGACTACGAGATTTGGGGAATGGCCCCTCATAGTCCCGGATTGCAATAAATGTGACTCTTTAATTCAGAAAATAAAAAATAAAAATAAAATGGATCATACAAACCCCTTTCCAAAGGGCTCTTGGCATCAGCTTCACCGCCTCACTCTCCCCTCATTAGGGAGCTGCATTAACTCTGACAGCTGTGTGTTCTCTAATTGTACAAGGGCCACGGTTTTGGCTTTGGGGAAATTATACTTTGACACAGGGCCCTTCTACCTCCCCGCCTTGGTCAAGTCTGAGCTGGGGGTGGGGTCAGGGCCCGGTCACCCTGAGGGCTCCCCCACTTTGCTCCCAGGTCAGAGACACTGCCCTACGCACCCTGACATCTGGGCAGAGGCCTCCTTATTACGCCTTTCTGACCTAAGGACCTGGGGTGTCACTCCTGGCCCCGCGCCCACAGACAGCTCCCTGACCTCATCTGCGGGCGATGTCGGCTGCCACTGGCAAGCAGGGTCAGGTTGAGGCCTGGTGCTGTCTCAGGGGCCCTGGGAGCTATGGATGCTGTGAGGCCGAGGAGACAGGGCCAGGCACAGCCCAGGGTGACCAATCAGTGTCCAACGGAGGTGGACACCATGGTGAGGACCACCTCCACTAACGTTCCTGGGCCCACTCTGGGACACACGCTGGCCCGCCCCCAGCTGGCAACACAGGGGTGTCACCCCCACCCCCTCTACTGCACTGCCCAACCCCAACCACCCTCTTACCGGCTGGATGAGCTCCTGTGCTGTACCCCCAGCCCAGAATTCCCCCTCCCTTTCCCTCTCCACCTCTCCCCCCTCCCCTCCCCTCCCAATTCTGCCCACCTCTCACTGGGCTGGAACCTGGTACTCTGGGAATCACCCGCAGCTCTTTCCTCTAACCCAGCCAGGACAGGTCCCCGCCTCTGGGAGGGATGAGGCAAATTCAATTGCAATGTCACCGCTTAAATATATGATTGTGTTACTTGTATATGACATCTTTTCAACTCAGTGCTTTTTTTTTCTTTTTGTCCAATAAGCTTCTTTAAAAAAAGTGTTTTTATTGATTTTAGAGAAAGAGTGAGAGCGAGAAAAACATTGATGAGAGAGAAGCATCGGGCAGCTGGGGATCAAGCCCACAACCCGGGCATGCGTCGCCTCCGAGGGAATGGAACCAGTGACTCGTGGTGCACGGGCTGACGCTCAACCACTGGACCACACGGGCCGGGCCCAGTAACTTCTAATGGGGACTCTTCTGGGGACGACCCGCCCGTTGGCGTGTCAGGCGCGTCTCCGGCGCCACCTGGTGGTCACTGGGTGCCCACGCACCCTAACCGGGAGGTGGGAG